GGGGGAAGCAGGAGAATGGGATAAAATGGGATAAAATAAAAAGATATTTTTTCTGCTAACGGGAGATCAGAAGGCAAAAAATTTAAACGCTGCTAAAAGTTTTTTAAGCGAAGCTTGGATTATTAGAAAACTTTTACGAAACTTCTTGGTTAAAAAAGGAAATAACCAATGAGAATAATTCCTCGTTTTATATATATAATAGATAAAGTAAAATGAAGTTCATATTTTTAAAAAAAACCATATAAATTTTACCAAGATTATAAAAATTATATAAATTCCTTACTCTCATTGAAATATTGATACATTTATTGTAGAGAATTGTGATGCACGAATCTATAAATGAATTAAACTTAAGAGTGAGATAAACGTGAGATTGATTCAAGTCCATTTGATATTTCGTCTCATCTATTTTATTTTATTTTTACTTTTTCATAATTATAGAACTTAATAAACACCCTCTTTACGACACATTAAATAAATTTAATACGCTTCTTTAACTTCAAACGTACTTTGGAAACGATGCAACGTCAAATTTTATATTATTCTTTTACTAAATAATGCACAGATATGCATATTAAAGCAAAGTTCAATGATCAAGTATTCATAGAGGATCAAAAATTTAAAGCTTTTTAATGTTTATGAAATTATTATTGCTATGAACCGGTGTTCCGATAGAAATTCTATCTCGACCAGAAATTGTAATTATAACTTCATCAAGAGTCGGATGGCACGTTGGAACTAACAATAATTAGAATAATGGATACACTGGGATAAAATTCCTCCTGGAAAGCCAGTGAACCGGTTCACACCAGGAAGTCCTCAGTATTAATATGCATAATGAAGTTTAACTATGATTATCGGAACTCCTGTTACATGTTCGATGCGAAGTCGATCCAGTTAATCGAGCAAATGCGTGTATTTGAACGATTTCCGTGTAAATGGTTTAATTATGGAAACTTCGATTCACTGAATTATTCGATTATTCTAATGGTGTTATCTATATATATAATATAATAAAAGTAAAGAAGAGAAATATGTAAATAAATTCATATGCTCAATGTGTTCTCATTTTCATCTATTGTGAAATATCTTATGGATATTAATATTAAATGGATATTTTGAAGCAAATTATAACAGTTTCATTATTTAGTTTAGTATTCTCATTTTTTCTTATCTGTTAATTGAACAATTTTCTCTAATATTATTATTTCACTTCTTCAACATGCAATAAAATTATTACTGAATTTATTTTTTTTTTCTTCTTTTCTTTTACATTATTTTTATTTTTTTTAAATTAATTCCATTCATTTATTCGTGCTATGCTTTTTCTCTTGTTTTCTCTGATTATGTATGTATACATTATACCAACAATTCTTAATGTGATATAAGGGTTTCATATAAGTGAATGAGTAATTGAAAAAAAAGTAAGTGATATTTATTCTTATAAATATAAATTTAACATTGTGATTGAATTATGTATTATTATTATTATTATTATTATTGTTGTTGTTGTTGTTGTTATTTTATTGGAATAAAAAATATTTAATAGGAATATTTATCAAGTTATAATAAATATCTTCTTTTTAAATTTGAAGATTATAAGTATGTAATATATGTATAATATGTATCACAGATTTTAGGAATCCTCAATAATTAAAAATTAATTAAAAAATTTGATCAAGGAAAAGTTAGGAAATTGGTGTATTTGAGACAAGTCAATGAAATGCTTATAAAAATAAAAAAACAAAAAAGATTAAACAAATAACTTCATGTAAAATATCAGACTGAAGGTAAAATTGAATAAATAATGATGAGATGAGTTGTATAATTGATAATGATATTGGATATTGGATATTGGATTGTGAAACAAGTAAATGAATGGAATTAATTTAATAAAAATAATGTAAAAGAAAAGAAGAAAAAAAATAAATTCAGTAATAATTTTATTGTAAAAGAAGTGAAATAATAATATTAGAGAAAACTGTTTAATTAACAGATAAGAAAGAATGAAAATGCTAAACTAAATAATGAAACTGTTAAAATTTGCTTCAAAATATTTAATATTAATATTAAATATTTGAATATTTAATATTAATATCCATAAGATATTTCACAATAGATGAAATAATTCGTGTCAAGTTTACGTTTAGATAATAAAAATTTTATTATAATTATTAAAAATAAAAAATATAAATTTCATAAAATTAATTTAATAATCGATCAAAAATTTCTAATCTAATCTAGTTAATTAAAACTTACCATTAAAAAAATTATCGAAAAATCGACAATTGATATGATTAAAATTAATTATTAAATTTTTAATTAAAAAAATTAATCATCGTAAAATTGATTAATTCAATTGATATCAAATGAATTAATTAAACTAGAAAAATCGACTCAATTGATTTAATCAATTAATTTTCAAACTAATCGCTATAAGCATCGATGCTGAATGCAATAAAACAATTTTTATTATTAATTATTTATTTATATAAGTACTTTTATGAACATATATTTTTTATTAAAATAGATCATAAAGTTAACAAAATTTTAAATGAAATTTATTTATTTATTTAATGAAATGTGTAATGCGCTCTTTTTAATATTCGAAATAAATTTTCCTTATCGACAATTATTATAAACGAAATAATAATAAAGATTACCGACGACAAACAATTTTCAGTCAATTATCGCCATTAATTACTTATTACTTGTTTAAAATTAAAATCAATATTTTTTAATCATGTTTTTGAAAAGCTTTTTGAAAAGTCTTCTTTATATCTTACGATTATTATTATGCTTGATTTAAATAATAAATAAATCTTTGTTAATTATTTTTTTCATAAAAATTTTTAGGATTATTTTTCTTAGTTCTTTTTAATTTATTCTCTATTAATATTTTTCATTCTTGATTATTATTTCACTTGCTAATATTACGATAAAACAAAAATAAAATTTTGTTTTTCATCTATTTGAAACTTTATTCAGTTTCCTATTTATAATTCATATTTTCATACTGAGTTTTCTATAATTATTTTCAATTTATCCAAAATTGTTCGACCAAATATCTTATATTGTTAAAAATAAAATTTATATTTTTTCGTGCCTAACTTTAAAATCTTTTTTTAACAATTTTTATTATTTATTCTTTAAATTAAAATACAATAAAAAAATTGTACAGAAATTTTTCTAATCTTTCCTCAACTATAATACTTTATATAAAACCAATAGATATCTTAAAAACATTAACGAAAATATGTATCGAATTATGTATCGCGTCGACATTTTTATTTCGCTCTTCGTTTTCATCAAAACATAAAAGAAATCGTACAATAGTTATTGTTTTTATTGTTTAGAACAATTAAAAAAAAGAAGAAGAAGAAGAAGAGGAATAGAAATTGAATATTGGAAAAAAATCTTGCAGCATGTCATAATTCCATAAAACTTTAAAAAGCGTCGAGCTTCGTTCTTCATAAATCTCTAGCGAGTGATTGCGTTTTCTTTGCTGTCAACCAGTTTGCCGGAAGTCGAGGAACCGTTACAAAGGGAACGAGATCGAAGTAAATGAAACTGCGGGCAAAATGATGACACCGACTATCCGACTTTTTTTCCTCCTCCTCCTCGCCCCCCTCCCCTCCCATCGACGACTGGAGGAAAAATTGGTGAAAAACGGATAAAACGATCCGAGGTAAATGGAATTTTCAAGGGAGATTGCTCGCAATTCCGCGCTTCGCTCAACTGTTTGTAAACTGCCATACGTACGAATCAGATTTATAAAGTTTTCATGAATTAGCAAACTCTCTGACGAAGAGAAAGATTCATCGTCTCTTTGAGAGTTGAGAGAAATCGTTCACGTCCTTGAAAAATATTCAGTTAAATTGGCATACCAATTTAATGCTCACGTATATTTAACCTTTGAAATATAAATTCGAAGATTTATATTTCATTCATACATTTCGTTCATTTATACTAATGAATGTTTGATATGTAAAGAGGATATAAGGATCATAGTGGAAATTATTTTGAGAAATTCGTATTTATGTATTAGCATTTAAGAAAAAAAAAAATATTTTTTCGTTTATTTTTACAATTCGTATAATTTCTCTGATTTCAATATTAATTTTAATTTGTAACTAATGTATTGAAATAACTTATATCAAGTAATTTTAACATATTTCCATTTTCTATCGATTGGATTTACAATTATGATTTTTTGTTTCTTACGATTTGTATCTATCATAAATATTTATAGGATATTCGTATAATTTGGATTATAATGAATATGTACAAAATATAAATACAAATAATGATAAAAATGTAAAAATATTGATTGAAGTTTATTTATTAAACTATAAATAATTTAAGTTTGCATTTAATAAAGGAGAAACAAAATTCAAAAAAAAGTAATCTCGTTCATCCAATATAATTGCTTTAATTAATAAGTTTATAATTTAATAAATAACTAACTAACATTTTTGTGTATCAAATTTTTTTTAGAATCATCATTTCATATTATCCTATGAGTAAATAAACAGTGTATAAATGTTAGAATATAAAAGAGTTTAGATAAAATTTTGTTGCTTAGCACATTATTGTTATTTTATTTAATTTAAACAAAATATTATTTTTCGAAAAAATGTAATAAAATTTTATAATTGAATGATTCTTTTTTTATGAAAAAAAATTGGATTTTTAAGTGGATAAAAAACAATAATATATATTAGAAAAAAATAAATTTGTTTATATAAAACATATTCTTTAATTATTAACAAAAAAATAATTTTTAATAAATAAAAAGATATCACAGAATTAAAGAAATATCAAATTTTATATTTAACTTTTATAAAAAAATTGTTATTTTAAAATAACTATTTTAAATTTTTTAAATTCAAACAAATTTGTATTAAGGCAAAATTTGTTTATTTTCTATAGCATCTATACACTCTAATATTTTTTATTTAAATATATTTAAATTTTTTAATACTTTTGTCGAATTGTGTATATTTATTCTAAACACGAAATATAAAATTCAAAGTTATATATTTTTACTTAAAAATCACGTTTCTATCGAATTACCCAGCAAATGAACGATTCGAAATTTCCAAGAATAGCAAAACATCGAATTTCTTGCAAGCATAAGTCTACGGGTGGAAACATTTTGAGAGCCGTGGAATTAATGAATTAATGTCGCCGGGAAACGGTGTCGACAGCGTTAAACGACACGATAAACTTTCAACGAAGGCTAAGAGCATTAAGTGCTCTCTTTTTATATCGATTAACATCGTTAGCGGTAAGCGTTGGTTATTTTCAAAGACGAAAGCTGGTAATTGTCTATTGACACTTTTCGCGATTGAAACAATGACGCAACGTTTTCAAAGAAAACGATCTATTTTGATCTTTTTCTCGTTTATATAAAATCGAAATAAATTCAGATTCAACGGATTTTTTTTAATTTATTTATTTATTTATTTATTTATCACTAGCTCCATAATCGCGTTTCTAGCGACCCAATAAAGAATAATGAATATATTTCGATATCCAGGAAATGAAAATTAAACGAAATAGGAATGAGTTTTTTTTTTTTTTTAACGTTTATACTTCAAGAGATTCGCGATTCAGAGGCGGAGAATTTCTTCTGAAATATGTATACAAACAGTTTCTTATTTTACGCTCAAAAAGGGTCGAACGCTTTGAAAGAACGTGTCTACAGAAATGAGGAATTTCAGAGACACGTTTATCAGATCTCTCTACGTTTAACGCGTTTCTGCTTTTCGTGTATTTCATGATATTTGTTTTCTAGATTCCCGCGTTTGAATATCTTTTAAATATCTTTCGATGAACTTTTAAAAAATTTATCTCTTCCACGATTTCGATCAATCTCGAATAATGTTGTTAAGAATATTATTTTTTTTTTCTATTGAAATGTTTAGCATATATATATGTATAACAATTTTATAAAAAGTTACTTAAATTTTCAGACTCACAAAAAATTATAAAAAATTATAAAAAGCTTTATTATTTTTTTCCAGGAATTATAATTTTTTAAAAAGATTCATTTTTAAATCCAATTTTAAAAAAATGTTATTCTATTTTAAAGAATGAATCGAATACTCTTTGCCAAAGTTTGTACATGAATTCAATTTTCGATATGCAAGATAAGATTTGTGTTAAGTTTTTATTTGATGTAAAAGAAAATATTTTCTTATAAATATTTGTGATATTTAACGACAATATACAATCTGAAATGTGTCCAAGTTTGATACATGTATTACATTTTATACACAACAATAATCTTGTGTAAAGCTAAGACAGATTGTAATGTGTAACAATTGTTCGTTCACATTTATGAAATACTGTAGGATCTGTAGAATTCCATAATGCAAGAGACACGTTCAGGATTTCATGTTACACGAGAAAATTTTTTGGTCATTGATTCAATGACTAAAAAAAATAAAAAATTGAAATTAAAAAGATTTTTTTTTAAATATAATAAGAAAATAATATGCATTTTATTTTACTTTAAAAAACAACAGAAACGTAAAATTTTTTCATTACATGTACAAAACAGCTTAAAGTAAAAAAGCAAATGTATGTAATTATCGTTAAAATCGTTTAAAATTAAGTTCAATCATTTTTTTTTTTTTTTTTAAACCCGACCGGCAAAAAAAATTAAATTAAAAAAAAAAAAATGCGTATTATATTTTTTTATTATATTAAAAAAAAACTTTTTAAATTTTTTTTTAAAACCGACTGAAAAAAAAATTGAATTTAAAAAAAAAATAAAAAAAAAAACGGCGAAAAATTAAAAAAAAACAAAAAAAATACATTTGAAAATATTTTTTTTTTAAATTCAATTTCTTTGTCAGTCGAGTTTAAAAAAAAATAATTTCAAAATGTATCTTCTTGTATTATTTTCAATTTTACGACGTATTTTTATATACTTATTTTTCAAATTTTTTTTAATCATATTATACGAAGGCAGTAGCGCAATTTTTAGTTCGTGAATGTATCACATTGAACGATGCGCTACTGTACACAATTGCGTGTGAATATTCATTAGCACTCGGTCATGAAGTTTTTCACGGAATTCATATTAAAATAAATAAATTCGAAAGAATGTGAAATAAATTTATTAAAATAAATTGAAAAAGAATTGTGTTAATTTTCTTTTTTTCAGAAGAATATATTCCGACGTATTTTATTTTTTTCAATTATTGCTTTTCGATCATTTTAATATTTATACGAAACCAGAGATATTTTGGATTCGGGTCGAATCGGGAAACATCGGGCAAGATCGGACAAATTCTCGTATCTTTTCAGGATCCCAAAAATATCCGACTGTACGTATATCGAAATTTCGAAAGTATTCGATTGCATGGATATTTTATATTTTTACGATATACAACATATTGTTTATCTATAATTTTATACATAATTTGTGTATAATTTGTTATTATATTGTATACGTATAATGTATAAGAGAGATCAAAGAAAAATAAATAATGAACTGATATCAGAACTGATGTCAGATAAAATAAACATCATCAATTGCAGATTTTAAAAATTATATTGCAGTTTCTATAAATTTGACATTAGATATATTTGAAAAATTTAGTATTAAATTAACTTTATTTTTCAATAAAAAAAAACTAAAATGTTCGGATAGAGAAACATTAAAAGACAATTAAAAAATATATATGTATTTACGAAATACAAACATTGAAAATTGATAAAAATATCATCTCATGCAATTCTCTTTAATAAAAGAAATAATAAAAAATTTTCTTGTCACTCCCGCTATTCAGTTGACAAACGAATTGTTTTTCACAGCAAGAAATATAATTTAAATCTAATCTATAAAAAATTATTGGAAAATATAAAAGAAATTTATTTTTCAACGCTAATTGTCATTATTTGTTTTTCTTTTTAGTTCGTATTCCTGTTATGCAATTATATGTATATACTTTTGCAATCTCGATATGTTCGTGTATAGTCGGCTACTTTCGGCATCTCGATACGTTTACATGCAATAAGATACTTTCAGAAGCTCGTCCGATCTTGCCCGACTTCTGCCGAGCTAAAGTTCGGGAATTCCGTAATTTCACAAATCCGCACATTCCTAAATTGAAATCTCATTTTACGAAAGTTTGTTATAGACACATTCTTGTCTAGGTCAACTAATAGAGATAAATAGTAATTTATTGAAATATAATATCTAAGATATAAGTTGCAATTTTTCAATTAATTGGTTAACAGGTTAGGTTAGACAAAAGTATGATTGTCTATGCCAGAAACCAGACATACATATAATAATAATACATAACGAAAAATATTTTTTTTATTCTTCTTGACAAAATATTTCCGGTAAAAAGTAGCATTTCGAATTATTTAATTTATGTTTATTGTATCGTTTTATAATAATTTAGATTTAGTCACATATGGAAGATTGGTAAAAATTTTATTGGTAGTGTGGAATTTTTAGAAACCTATTAACCTATATACTTAAAAAGACAAGTGTGACGTTTAGTTCATATAAAAATTCTTCTTATATCGATCAGAATCGAATAATTATAAAATTAGATGCAGATATTTGGAGGATATTGAAAAGGGAACCGATCGATGAAGCGTATCAAATATTCTTTATGTTTTCGCAAATAACTCATATTTTTAAACGTTTCGTGAGAATATTGACAATAAGGGAAATCATATTAAAAGATTAAAATTTTTTCGTGTATCTCTTTTTCAATCGAAATTGTATTCAATATTTATCTTTGCTCTTAGAATAATCTCCATACACAGTTATTTTATCATTATTCAATCGAGATTTAATTTTTGAATTCGATTTTTTTTTTAAAGAGACTTTAAATTAAAAAATTTTATTTTTTGATTTATTTCAGATTTTAACATCATAATATTATTGTATCACGTTTCCTATAGAATTCTATATGAATTCATTACCTTATATAATGTATCGGTGTGTATTATATAAATATGAATCGTATTAAAATATATATTGCTATGGAGACTGACTCGAAAATTTTTCATCGTATTTAAATATAAAACGAAATTATTACACATGCGCTTATTATTCGACACAAAAAAATCTCTATACTTTCAAAATTAAGTCCCAAAATTAATTCAAATTAATTTTTGAAATATTACATCTCTAATTATTCAAAGGGAAAAGAATTTTTCAAATAATATATATCAATAATTTTTAAAATTAAACTAAATGAATATATTAGATTAAAAAAGGTATTTAAAAAAAAACACTATTTTGTTTTTATTTTTTTATTTTTTTTATTTTTTTTTAAAGAATTTGTATATGATCAATCATACCAATTTGTTAAAATTTTAAAATAAAATGTTACGTTACTGCATGTTTATATTTATATTTTATTTTATCCTTTTGTTATCTTTATTTATCATTGAAGTGTTATCTGTCACAAGCACAAAATTGTGTCATTTTTTAATCTTTACTATCAGCAGAAAAAAAACAATTTAAAATTACATAAACAAATAATATTGTCATATTAATTGCATAAATTGAAAAATTCATAATACGAACGATTAATTTGCTTTTACAGAAAAAAAAAAAAGAAAAATATTTTAACATTTTTCTTTTTCTTATGAATATGGATATAAAATTTCTCTTCGACAAAATATTCCTTCCGCCTTATAAATTGAATAATCGTAATCGATATGATCCGATATATAATTATATCGTGAAATCTAATCGAATCATAAAGCTGTGTGTGAATAATCAAACGAATCAAAATTATTCTCGACAAAACGTTCCTTCTATAAATCTCTTCACTTTAAGGTGATTTTTAAAACTTTTTTCTCTGTTCCGATACCTTCGAGCAGACAAGAGTGTATATTTAAAACTACGATACGCGATTTAAACGATTGTTGTAATTTTAACTCCCCCTCTCTTCCCTCTTCCTCTCCCTCCCCATTCGCTCTTGACACATTTCACTGTCAATGGGAGAAGACTGAAAATGCAACGACGATATCGCGGCAAAACGGGGCGGAAAAACGAGAAATTAAATCGATCGATCCTCGATCCGATATTTTTCCATGCGAACCGATTATACAATGCCGTATATAACACGATACGCGAATAAATTGATTTCACGGGATATCCGCCCTATGCATAATAGGTTTTTCGGTAATATTTAAACGAGTGGTGGATCTAATGAATATGCATAACGGAAATAAATTAAACGAGTAAGATCGCGTTCAGGGGTTAATTTGAACGGCATGAATTGTACGGGCAGCTTGATAAAATTGTTCCCACGAAAATATTCCATTGAATGTAACTTAATGATTCTGTATATGAATAAATAAAACATTTCCGTTTTATCGAAATATCTCCTACATTCAAGGGAGAATTTTTCTTTTATTCGAGTTATTTTGATTATTTCCATGTTCAGATGTTTGTTATTTTATTCTATTGTTCTTTTTTTTTTTATAATTTACTCTTTCAAGTTGAATTATATCACAATCGAGGATCTCTATAAATCGAGAGATATTCTGTAGATCGAAGTATAAATCTTACGTTAAACTCGTATTATTTGTCACATATTTTTGTTTTGGATGTGCTTGCTATTTTTTTCTCCGCATCTCGAATATATAATAGAGTGATTCAACATTCATTGCAATTCGAAATAATTATGTATTATAGGGGCAAGAATTGTTAGCAAAAATAAGATACGAAATTCATTAAAAATAATTGTATGTTATGATATAAATATCAAATGCATACATATAATACATACAATTGTTAAAGAATTATTAAATCAGTCTAGTGTGAAATAAATAGAAAATGTATAATTTAAATTCTTTTTTTGTTGAGAAAACAATGAGAAAGCAACATATTTAATTGGACATACATTCAATAACTTTAATATTAATGCATAGAAAGATATATGAAATGTGAAAAATGGTATAGAATATTCAAGTAGGAAATGTTATTTTAAAAAATAATATTTATTTCTTGTTGAATTGACAATTATGATTATATTATGATTTTTTTTCATTTTGATTTGAATAATTTCTTTTAATTGCAATTTTATT